TATATAAGCATATATAACATATAAAATACATATATATATATATATATATATACATATATATATATATACATATATATATATATATACATATATATATATAATATATATACATACATATATATATATATATATATATATATATATATATATATATATATATATATATATATACATACATACACATACATACACATACATACATACATACATACATACATACATACATACATACATACACACACACCTATGGAAATACATTTGTATACATATACTAACATACATGTATACATATATACTAACATGCTTGTATACATTTATGCATTCATATATATATACACACATTCATATGCATATAAATGTATATATATAAGAAAACGAAACCTCCAATCATGCACTTGTAGATTGTTATACTGCCGTGATCTGAAGATATTTTAGGAAACATTCCAATATCCTAATTAGCTATAGAAAAAATGGTTTTATTTAAGAGGCTTGTAGATGATTAAATGTCTCTTAGGCATGTCTAGATGTTTATTTTTTGTTCTTTTTCATGAATGAGGATAAAATGTTATTAACGTTAAGAAAGAACCAAGGGAGCAAGAAGAATAAACAATGAACTTACACTTGGCATTGGATGCTTTTCTTTTCTTCTTCATTCTGGATATATTGTACTTTATTACAATAAAAAAACATATTTTAATTGTGCTTTGATAACCGCAGACACTGTACTACTTTTACGTAAATACTCAAGAGATGTTCTTTATCTTTATATAAATTAGAAACAAATTTTTTACATAAAAAAAGTTGAATATTTATAACCTCTCCAATTGGGATTCGATCCCTTGCTGCCATTGCATGTGAATGGAAGACAGCCGCCACGTGCATTGGCGGCGAGGGATTTAATCCCGATTGGAGAGGTTATAGATATTCATGATAAAAATGCGGTATTCAATCTTTTATATAAAAAACTTGTATCAAAAGTTTCTGTAGAAAATATGTTTGATTTATGTATTCATAGCTGTGACTTTGTATCTAGAAGATTGGTGTGTTAAGTAGAAAGAAACACGAAAGTGTGATGAAAAGCTATTTGGAAACTCCCAATTTCTTTATAAACATTTGTGCTTTGGAATTTCATGCTTATTAAGGCATTTCCATTTATGTAAAGTATTATCACATAAAATATTTTTGGTTAGGTGCATTTTATACATGGAATTACAGTAACTTATTTTTGCCAGATCAGTGGATGTAGGACATTGTATGCTCTGGATTCTATGAAAAGATATTTGTTAACCCAATGGATGTGGATGGCATGATTACCTGCCGTGACCACTGTAATTTTAGTTCAGCAATTTGTATTTACACAGAGATGGGTCCACAAGTGCTTAGTCAGTAAGGAGTCAATTATAATGATTAAGAATGTCAATAACAATGATAATAGTATTGATATTGATATCTTTAGAAAAAACACAAATTCCACAAATTCAAGGAATGGTGACATTAGGCATGGTCTTCAGGCCCTACTAATTGACTCCTTGGTGGCTTAGCACTTGTGAAGCCTTCTGGGTGAAATGAAAGTCACAACAGACTACAGTGGACAATACATAACCCTGTGGCCATTGGGTTAAGCATACGTCTGAAGATGTACGACTGTATGTGATAGATTTACAGATTGTTTCTCTTAGAATATTAAAGCTTGCTTTTATTTGTAATGGTAATTGTAGGTTTTCTATGATTGCAGTTTATTTGTTACATATTGCTTGAATTTTGCTGAATTGCATTTTATTCCTGTTTGTGTTTCAGTATTACTGATTCAAGTCAAAAGGAGAATCTTGGCATCATTGTCCAATACAAGGTTAAAGTAAAGCTGAACCTTGGTCCATTAGTTGGGTAAGTTTTAATGTAAATAGTGTTATTGATATAGTGGTAACTAATTTAATTTTTGTAGATGTAATATTTTATTTTTGCTAGTCATGGCATTGATACTTTTGGCTAGTTTCTTTTATAGTGGTTCATTAATTTTTGAAAAACAACAGTCATTTTGGAATAATGGTAATTTGTAGTAGCAGTGACTATGATCAGCAGCAGCAACTCAAGTATTAGGGAAGTAATAAGGCTTGCAATCCTTTCAGTGATCTGGTTGCAGAGTTGCCTTTTACACTGATGCACCCCAAGCCAGAGGAGGAGCCTGAGGTAAATAACAAGCCTGCACTCCCTCCTGCTTCCTCTCCGACACAGGATCCCAATTCAGCTCCGGCAGTGGACACCAATCTCATTGAACTTGACACGTGAGTCTTAGGCATCAGCTTGAGCACTTTTTGTTGGGTATGGAAAATTTCATTGGAATACAAGGAGGGATTCATCATAAAGTATGATCAGTGTGTGAATGATTATTTCTTGCATTTGCTTAGATATGTCAGATACAAGGAGGTGGTTTGATGATGAGATTGAATACAGAACTGTTTGATGCTAAGTTGTTTATGATGGAGAAAATCAGGTTTATATGAGCACCATATTCCTTCTGCTTATTCATTCTTACTGCACTTCAATGGCATGCTAAGATGTAGATGTATGTGAAAGCATTATTATTGATGTTTATTTGCTGAGCTAATTCAGGTTAGTCATATTCTATCTTCAATTCTATCTATCATATAAATAGACATGTATCAAGTGCCTGGCTTGTAATAGTAATACTGTATGCATTCTGATTACATTGTACTTTTACTATTGCTCATATTAAAAGCATTTTGTCAATAGATATACAGGGTTATAGATTTACAAACTCCACCTTTTTATTACAACTGGGAACTGCAGGAATTCTTCAAGAGAAGATAAACCATCTGATCTAAATGCATCCATAGAAATGGACAGAATCGTCAAAGTCCAGTCTTTCTTTGGGGCCATGAAAATCAAGTTAGACCAAGCCATAGTGAAATTAAGACAAGGAGCAGAGAATGAGAGATATGGGGTTTCTTCCAATCCTGTTACCAGTAACCCTTATGTGGGTGAAAGCATTCCTGAGAGAAGCGCCAATGCTTCACCTACTCTGTTGCCATCTTCTGACATGATTGTTGATTTCATGGTTGTTAAAGAAGAGGAAATTGTGGAGTGGGTACTTTGTTCACGCGTGGAACATGCATGGTTAGAAAGTATAAGTATATATATATATATATATATATATATATATATATATATTATATATATATTATATATATATATATATATATATATATATATATATATATATATATATATATATATGCATGTTGTTTGTGTATGTGTATGTGTATAACCATACCTCATATAGATGAATTCTTGTTGGACTGATTAGTCTTATCTCCAAATAGACACATGATGTTTGTCTGTAGGATTTATAAGTACTCTTTTCTAATAATCAGACTAAAAAAATTATATCAGAAAATTAATATCTATATGAATGAGAATTTGTATAGATATGATACTAGTCATATTACATGATTGGAGTGGTGTTCAAGCTATGGGTCATTCACCTTTTATTTAATACACTAGGATGAAAATTATCACCAGATTCATGGATTTTTTTTTTTTTTTTTTTTTTTTTTTTATTCATGCCAGTTTTAGGGAAGTTGCAATGTCACAATGTCACAATTATTCTTCAAGAAAATTGTGAACAATTTTGCGACATGTTTGTCTTAGGACTATAAACTTAGACTCTTTTGGGATATCCATAGCCCCTTCAAGGTTAAGCACTCAATTGTCTGCTTCAGAAATAGAGAGACCATTATATTGGGGCAGCTTTGTAGAAAATAATGAACATATATCAAATGAATTATGGGGTAAGATAAAATTAATTAAGTTATAGTTTGTGTGGAGTAGGTAAAATTAGAAAAGAAAGAAAGTGTGGTGGGGGCCTGTTGAGCTTCTTTCCTGTCAGTTCAGGAGTGAGGCAAGGCTGTGTTCTTGCACCAACACTTTCAATACTTGCACGGACTGTATACTAGGCAGAGCTGCTGTTCAAAATCATTGTGGAGCAACACTGGGCAATGTTAAGGTTACAGACCTTGACTTTGCCAATGATGTTGCTATTCTGTCTGAGTCTTTGGAAACCCTAGTGGTGGCTCTCGATGCATTTAGTAATAAAGCGAAGCCCTTGGGTCTAAAGGTCTCCTGGACCAAGACCAAGATCCAGGACTTTGGGGACTTGCTAGGAGAACCTGTTCGGTTGGTACGTGCTTGCGGCGAGGACATTGAAGTCACAGTGAGGTTTACATACCAAGCTACGGGTTTTCAGGGCCCTGATAATGCTAGTTTTGCTCTGTGGTAGTGAAACCTAGACATTATCCAGTGACCTGGAGTTTCATCTTGAGGCCTTTTGTAATAGCAAAAGCAAAAGGTGGACGTGGCTATGCGCCCCCGTCGGCGTTAGCTCCTAATGGTGATAATACATACATACATAATAAAATGCATACATATTGCATATATAATGCATATATACATACATGATACATACATACCAGGGTTCCTGTACATCCTTTAAGCCTTAGAATGTCTTGAATAATGTTTTGGAAATTTGAAGTCTTAAAAAAAGTCTTTAAAAAGGAGCTTTTTCTGGCACAGGTCTTAAAATGTCTTACATTTGCCTAAGCATCACACACACACGCACCCCCCACACACACACACACACGCACAAAACACACACACACACCAACACCAACACCACAACTAACACCAACATAACACACACACTCACTACCAACATAATACACACACTCACCACCAACATAACACACACACACTCACCACCAACATAACACACAACACACTCAACACCAACATAACACACTCACTCACCACACATAACAACATACACACCACAACACAACACATAACACACACCACCAACACCAACAAAACACACACACACACCACCAACATAACACAACATATACACACACCACCACTACCACATAACACACATACACCACCACACCAACATAACACACATACATACCACCACCAACAACACACATACATGCACCACTACCACCTCCAACATAACACACACATGCCAACATATCACACACACACACACACACACAACACACACACACACACCACACACACACACACACACACACACACCACACACACACACACACACACACACACGCAACAACATAACACACACACCATCACCAACAACATAACACACACACACCATCACCAACATAACACACACACACCATCACCAAACATACACACACACACACACACACACACACACACACACACACACACACACACACACACACACACACACACACACACACACACACACACACACACACACACACACACACACACACACACACCACACACACAACCACATAACACACACACCATCACCAACAACAAACACCACACACCATCACCAACATACACACACACACCCATCACCAACAACACACACACACCACACACACACACACACACACACACACACACACACACACACACACACACACACACACACACACACACACACACACACACACACACACACACACACACACACACACACACACACACACACAAAAAAAAAAAAACAAAAAAAAAAAAAAGACAGAGACCATGTAAATACGACTTCAGTTATACCTCTTATGATTATGAAAGAAATTACCTAACTGATGGTTGCATACTGCATGCTAACTTGTTTTTGGGGCTTTGTTTTCCATCCTTTTACACTTTTAATTTCTTACTAAAGTTTTTTTGTTTTTTTTTTGCTAATTATATTTTGCTTTAATGTTTTCTTTTCTGAGTTTGTGCTGTGGGATGTTGACTAATGGTTCAGTGTATTGATTAGTGTATCTTCTTTGAGAATTTGTGCGTATCTGTTTATCTATACCTCTGTGTGTTTATCTTTTGTGTGAGTCACTGTCAGTATATGTGAAGAGGAATACTTATTTATTAGAGTAAAAATGTTGCAGAAATGGGCACATGTACAAAATTTAACTATTTAGTATTCTGGCAGATTTATTTGTATGTAAAAATGTATCTTACCACATACAAAACATTTCATAAAATTTTTACTCTTTATAACAGGGATGGCACAACTTGTTATGCTGATCAAGATGACGACATCATTTTTGAAGATTTTGCTCGGCTGCGATTGAAGGGAGAAACAGAGGCGTAGGAACCCTAATGTCCTCCTGGTGTGTAATATCTCCCTTTTTGCCCTTGTAATAAGGTTTAGCTACACGCATACTTGTGTGTATTTTGATATTCTTTTCTAATGAAGGTATTATGATTTTAATATTATCATTAAGGTCTGCACATTTATGATTGCTATCTGTACTGTATTATGTCACTCTTTTTATTATTATTGATATGGACTGTGATGCCATTTTGACCATCTTTATCAGGTATTACCTTTGTTATCATCATTCTGTCTTCATAATCACCAGTATCACCATCACCCACCAACAATCACCATTCACCAACCACCAATCACTAACCACCACCCATCAATCACCACCCACCACTCACCACCACCACTCAACACCCACACCCACCACATACCACCCACCATGTACCACCAACCACATACCACTCACCACCCACCATCCACCATCCACCATGTACCACCCACCACATACCACTCAGCACCACACATACCACCACCACCTACCACATACCACCCACACAACCACATACCACCCACCACATACCACCACATACCACCACCATCCACCATGTACCACCCACCACATACCACTCACCACCCACCACATACCACTCACACCCGCCGCATACCACCCACCACCCACCATGTACCACCCACCACATACCACACACCACCCACCACATACACCACCACCACCATGTACCACCCACCACATACCACTCACCACATACCACCCACCACATACATCACCACCCACCACATACCACCCACCACCCACCACATACCACCACCACCCACACATACCACCCCATCACCCCACACCACCACACCACACGTACCACCATCACCCACCACTACCACCACCAACCACCACCCACCAACCACCAACCACACCACCACCCACCACCCACTACCCACTAATCACCACCCACCGACCACATTCACTCTCCTCTCCTATGTTGTATTTGCTTTTTCTTTTTTGCAGACAGACAAGCATCCTCTACAGCCAAAGCAGTATTCACTTGGAAACCTAGAGGGGCTCCCACCAGACTAATCATGAATGCATAAGGTCATAGATACATGTCATTTGGGTTTATTTGTTTCAAGATTCTGTTACATGGTTGTAGAAAAAGAAGATTCATACTTTTTTTTTTTTTCTTTTTTTCTTTTTATTACGCAAGCTTACAAATGCAGACACATCAGCAAAATAAGCGCACAATTATAGAAATCTTAAAGAACATAGTTATTTGTATTCACAATTTGTCTCTTTTCTCCCTCGTTCATTCACTGTCTCTCTCTTCTCTGTCTTGCCTCCTCTCTTTGATTTTCCTACTTATTCCCTCTCTCTTTCTCTCTTCATATGTTTTATACATACATGTGTTATAAGAAATTGTGAATGTATTTGCAATATATTTATATTTGAGCTTCATGTTTATGCTTTTGCTCAGTACCATTTTTGCACTTTTTTTTTAATTACAGATTATCTTATTATACCTGAAGCAGTTAATATTTTGTTTTGTTATCTTTAATATTCTTAGTATTGGTATTATTATTGAAATTAGTTGTTATTATTTATTATTAGTATTATGATTTATTTTTATTTATTATTGTTATCATGATTTATTATTAGTATTTATTATTGTTATTATGATTTACTATTATTATCATCATTATTATTAACTATCATGATCATTAATATAGATTATGTTCGCTTTGTTGTTATTATTGTTTTTGTTGTTTTTATGCTTTGTTATTATTGTTTTGTATTTGTTGTTTTATTATTATTATTGTTATTATTATTATTATTTTTATTATTATTATTATTATTATTATTATTATTATTGATATTATTATTATTATTATTTATTATTATTTTTATTATCATTATTTCTTTTTCATTATTCTTTGATCATGATTGTAAGCTTCATCATTATCTTCATAATCATATCAGTTCTACCAGTCACAACCTTCATTAGTGTTATAACTATATTATTATAATTATAACTGTAATATTGTATTGTAGTTATAATCTTATTTCTTTATTATTATTATTATCATGATAATTTGGTCATTATTTTTCAGCATTGTAATTGTATCATTTTATAATTGGAAAGTTGGTTTTAGTTATTATTGCCTATGTTGTTATTGCCATTGTAATAATATTGATGATATAGAGTAGTCATTGTTTTATCAGTTACAGTTGTCAAGGATGATTATGTGTGAAATTATGAAAACTCATTATTATAATGATTATGTAACTAACTAGCTATATATTTCTTATCAGTACTTGTTATTGTGACCACCAGATATGTATCCTTGCAACACTGCATTAGGACAATATATGAATTAGATGAATGTTTGTCCTAGATTTTAGTGGCTTGAAAAAAAAAAGAAGAAAAAGAAAAAGAGCACAATCAAAGCTTGAATGGGAAGAGCCTTTTTATTTGTGATTTTCCATTCACACTTTGGGACGGAGACGACTGGGATTGGCTGCAGTGATGCTGATAGTCCTGCTGCTGCGTAGGTACTAGTGTTATTGTATAATGTGATTATTATTTTTATTTTTATTTTTTCATCTTTTTTTAGGTCATGATTTGCGTAAGTTTAGTCTTTTGTAATGGTATTAAATATTATTATTACTGTGTTTTTTTATGATTATCATTATCATCATCACATCATTATTATCATTATTGCAAGTTTTTATTATTTGCTATTATTTTATCATTATCAGTGTAATTGATTTTCATTGATATTGTTATTTATTTTTATTATTTACATTATTATTGTTATTTTGTATTATTATTATCATATATAATATTATCATTATTATTAAAATTTCTGTTATTATTATTGTTATTTTTTTTATTGTTATTATTGTTATTATTATTATTGTTATTATAATTATTATCATTATTATTAAATTATTATAATTGTTATTACTATTATTATCATTATCATCATTATTAGTATTCATGATTATCATATTGATTTCTTTTATCATCATCATTCTCATATCATTGTCATTACCTTTATTATTGTAACTAATTGTATAATGACCATTTATTTTCATTCATGTTTGCAATGTAATTGTTTCCAAAATTATATGTATATGCTTTCTGTAAATGATTCATTGCTCTTCTTTATGGTGATTATAAAGTTTTGGTCTGTTAAATATCTTGTAAGAAATGATTATTACAGTTTTTGATTTTAGGATGCAGAGCAAAGGCACCAACATCCACATGTAAGAAACGAGTAGCCATTTAGTATGCACTAATCTAGAGGACAAGCTACCTCAGCACTTGTAGAACCTGTCTCTAGTTATGACTGTTTTGTGGCATTACAGTGTCATACACTAACTCGAAAGCATTCCTTCGCTAGATTGTGAAATGGGTACCTGTGTTGAAAGAGTGCAGTACAAATGAATATGGATTTTCTTGGTTTTGATGATTGAATTATGTGAAATAGGTCAGGCAAGTCATCATGACATTGGAATGTATATGAGATCTATGGTAAGATGTTTGCTTATTTGATTCTTTTGTTAATTTCATGTTAGATACAAAAAAGGCAAGGTGAACATTTTATGCATGTCTGGACATTTGTATGAGTACTAGTGTGGACGAACTTTTGTTTGAGGGTATTTTTCATTTGGTAAAGTATACTGGCCATTTTCTATTTTCTTCAGGAAGTGTTGGAAAATATTGTGTTGTTGCACAGAATACATTAACTTAATGAATTAGTTCTTGCAAAGGTTTGAATGAGATACTTAGATATTTATGAATGAAGCTTGAATTACAAGTTTTCAGTCAAGCACTTGATTTTGTATTAGTGATTGTATGTGTTTAACAAATGTTTTATCATATTTATTCAATCTTTTAATATCAAGCGGATGAATGATGTGAATTTGATATGTTCTATGGATATTATGGCTTTGAAAATGGCAAGTTCCATTACATTATGATGAAGTATGGGGCATTACTGTAAAAAGTCTGAACTTGTGTTACACATATTAGGTGTTGTTAATGCAGTATTCCTTGTAATGCTTTGTAAAATCAACAGAGTAGGTTTACCAAAGTATATTTAAGTGTAATAATCCTTTTTGACTAGGGTGACAATGTGGCTTGCTTACAAAATGTTATCTTTATGAACTGGATCTGTGCACAAAGTAAGGCACAAATCGTGTCATCAAACATAATTCCTTAAATTGTGTTTGTGAGAATTTCTTTCAATTTAACTCTAAGTTGAGCAATTATTTTTTCATGTTTTAAGAAAAGCTATTGGCTCTATATAGAATGTGGTGACACTTGATAAGTCTTCTTTTTTATAGAAGTAGACTAAAAATATATGATTCTATGGTATGTAGCAGCACAAGCAAATGTTAGTTATATGTTCAATACATTAAGTATTGATAATACTAACATTTTTTTTATATATATATAAACTTTATGGACTATGGGTATCACAAAAATACAGCATGATTGTTATGGTATGCTGTGGAAAATCAAATTATTTGAAATTCAGATAGGATGGTACAATTATTGTCAATATAAAGTTGGTGTATACAGAAGCAAGCTTGAGAATGTCAGCTGACAGAAGTGGTCCTATTAGGTTTCATGCAAATTGGATGATTTGAAATATCCATGACATAATTTATATGATCTCTGCTGTAAAATAGAGATTTCAGTCCTCTTTCCAGCCAGTGCTATGTCAAACTACTGTGAAAGTGCTATGAAAGTGAGGTCTTTTGTAAGTAGAAATGGTAGTTAAGACAAGTCATTAGCATATGTCTAGTAAGATTTTCTTTACACAATATTTTCATGAGAAGCATTCAGACTTTATGGCATTAGGAATACTTTTGTGGAAAAAAATATGATGACTATTATGTAGATACAACTATAGATCCCTGCATTTCAACTATAATTTTGGTATGTTATATTACATGTGAAAATGTAAAAAAAATATATATATAATCTTGTAATGAGAAGGCATAATTACTGAAAGAAATCATTGTTACTCATGTTCAGCATTTAATAGGTAACCCTAGTTTTGCCAAAGTTACTATACTGCATCTTTGTTTATATACATAATGTTTGTGTACAGTATTTGTATGAAATGAGAACCTGCTATACATGAAGCAGTGTTACTGAGATCCTGCCACATATATGGGGCAGTGTTATAGCATCAGTGTTATGTAGATGAAATCATTGTTTGTCAGTTGAGCTTGGGAAGGATGAAAGCATCTTTCCCACTGCTGCCATGTACTGTACAACATGGTTAATATCACAAGTATTTTTGTCACTGACATTCCTCCTCAGTGATTCTTCACTGTGCATGTGTTCTCTTGCTTGAATCCATCCAAATTGACAACAGGTTAGACAAAAGGTTCAGTCAAGTTTTCTCAAGACAATGGCCTGTTATCCTGACTCCTGTGTCCCAGCATCTTGCAGCAGTGAGGTAAAGCAGTGTGTGGTAGAGCATGATCTTGACTCAGTCATTACTGCAACGTAAGATACTCTTACAGAAAGCTGAAGTTTTCTATTTATTTAGATGCTACTTGTAGAGTGCAGCATATGCATAAATTGGCAACTGTAAATGCATTTATATGAATTCTGTCTCTTTTGCACTTCTGTGATGACTCAGTGCTGTACTTTAAATCATGCTCACCTTACTCAAATAATTGTTGTCTGTTTATAGTTTGTAAAATGAGAAAAACAAAGTCAAACAAGAAATTATTAAAGAAACCAAAAGCAATCTGACAATAAAACCTCAGAGCTTTTTTACAATTTTTTCTTGTTCCTTTGCTCTTTGTACTTCAGCGTGGTAGCACACCATGCTCTTCTTGAGTCTTGTCTGGCAGTGATTAATGTACAGTTTTAACAGCTTTGGTCACAAAATATGTCCAAACTTATTTTATGTCCTCTGCATAAGACATTATTTTATGTATTTTCCTATATATTTGTGTATAATGAATAAATGTAAGTGTACCAAAGAAGTGGTATTATTCATGACCTCTTGTTATACGATTTATTTTCATTTCCCCCAATGCCCAATGTAGGGGATCACCCCTCACCTTGGGCCTCAACCCTCACCTTAACTAATTTTGTTTGGTCTTTTCTTCTCCTTTCCTCTTCCATATCATTCCCTTCTATCCCATTCCTAAGGTGTGAGAGCCATGCTGAAAGGATGCAAGGAAGGCTTTGTGTCAGTCATGATGGACTCCGGGAACCATGGGCACGGTATTCCCTAGTTAATTGTTTTTTTATGGGACCCTTACCCCTTATGGGACCCCGAAAGGTAGACTTTCTTTTCCCCATTTTATTCAGGCTCACCATGGCCAGTAATGAAGATTCTTTACCCTTAATAGACCGATTCGGTGTGACCTCATGAGTCGGAGTCACCATTCCACTTGGTGAAAACAAGCCCGTCGCTCAGACACCTCGCTAAAATCGTGATGGAAAATGGCGTATGAATTCTTTGATTCTTCAAAAACCAAAGCGAAAAGGTGATATGAAGCAAAACTAGAAGCTGTGTAGCTAAAAGAGTACTCATACCGAAATCTAAAATTGAA